CAAATATTGTAGGTTTGAATTATTTATTTAACGTATTTGCACACTGCATGCTCCCAACAAAGCCAGCCCACAGTGGTCTGTAACACTAATAGTAGATCTGAAAATATACTATAACAAGTGTCATAAACATAGTAACATCATACAATCAGAAGGAAAAAAGCACAGAAACATGTCATTAATATTAAAAGTTCAGGACAGCAGATTAAAACAAACCACATGAAATATAAAAAGCAGGTTTTAAAAATTTTCCTAAGACACCACAGAACAGTCTAATCAAATTATTAATGGAGAGAATTCCATAGCATTGAAGCCACTACCAAAAAAACTGTGGTCCCAGTAGACTGCACCTAAACCTGTTTTGGGGCTGGCATATGCAGAAGGTCTTCTGGTGAATACAACTCCTGGTACATACGGAGAAAGCTGTTCCTTCAAATAGAAAGACTCAAAGAAGAGGTACAACTGATAAAGCATGTCCAATTGCCAATGTGCTGACCTGAGCAATCAAGGACAGCACAGGATCAAAATGTACCCCCAAACTAGGCACCTAATCCTCTTGGGAAAAATAGCCCCATTCAGGACAGGAAAATCCCCTTCCAGCTGATTGAGGCATCCCTAGTCATCAATCCTGTTCACTTGTCTGGATTCAGTTTCAACTTATTGTACCTCAACCAATATGCAATCTGGTCCAAGCAGGAATCAGTCAAGGAGTTTGACATTGATGAAAAAGAATAGTCCTGAGTGTCATCCATATAAATGTAGCACCTACTGTGATTACATATAGATGTTGAGTATCGGAGGGGATAGGACAGAATTCTGTGGCATTGCACAACTTGAGCTGCAATAAGGAAAAGTAATCCTCCTGTCCTTTTGGAACCTATTTTCAAGGTAGAACCAAAACCACAACAGAGTTGTGGTCCTCCCTCCCAGCCAGCTCTTTAGCTTTAGTTCAAAATCTGAGATCAAGGACTATAAGCAAAGACTATCCTGTTCCTTCAGTAATGGCAACCAAAGCCATCTCCATACCATGATCTAGTCTGAAATCAGATTGAACAGCTTTAGAAAATCAGTTTCATTCTGGAACACTTGGAGTTGATTTGCCACCATTCTTTCAACTATTTTGATGAGGGATGTTAAATTCACAATTCACTATTAGCCTAAAGCTGTTTTAATGGGGTGGGGGGCATCTATTCATTGTTTTTTCAGGAGGAGACATATTCCCCACCTCCTTTAAAATAGATGATGTTTCACACCTATTGAGGGAGACATTGTTGATCAAACATAACACATCCTTCAACCAATCCTTCCTGGCCAGTATCAGTCAAGAGGGAGCTGGGCCCAAACTCATCCAAGCATCTTGTCCACATACTAAAGCTTTCGGAGTCAAAGGTACTAGGCGACCTTCCAGAGCCTAATCAGATTGGGTCAGCCCCTACTCCACTCAGAATGGGTCCTTTGAATGATGATCAGATAAAGCAGAAGTGAAGAAAAACACTTGCCAGAAAGTCGGCTTTCCAATGAATTCTAAGCTGTACTCAGCCATATTTGCTTTTAGACTTATGCCATCAACAAACTGTCTCCCTGCATGTTTCATCATCTGCAGATCTCCAATAAACCAAGGAAACCTTGAAAGCCTAGCCAGCAATCATTCCAGTTACCAAGACTTGGATTGAAGGATTAGGGCCATCAGTAAACCTCCCTCCAAGTGAGTTCTAGAATTCTATCAGATACAGAGAATGCTAAGGATGGATCATCTGATCTGGCTCAGCCCCTTTGCAGGCAAGGGCCAGCCAACTACTATAATCTGACCGAGCAGTCATCCGTCATTGACAAAACACTCAGTTCTGGCCCCTCTAACCACTTATCATTTTTGCCACAAAACACCCAGATCTATAGGATGTCCTGCCTGATGAGTAAAGGCAGATATTGTGAGACAGACCAATAATAGTCACGAAAGACCAGACTCGGTATAAATAAAAAGTTTTGGAACTCCCCAAACCACTTCCAAGACCAATTTTACCAGCTCAGGCAGAGATAGTTTCGGACATGGGGCTCATAGTATACCAGCAGGTACCCCAATCTGTCTCACCCTCCAAGTTCTGATAACCACACTCCAAATCTTTATATGACTTTGTTCTTTCATGCAGAAACCTGGTAGGAGAGTCTAGCTCAGATGACTTCATCCAATTCCCCCAATCAGATCTCAGTCACACAAACCAGTTCAACTCACTGGCCTGGATCAAGTAACCTAGGAGGTGGATCTTTGTCATCAGCAGCAGGCACTGACCAAGAAAAGAGAAGAAATAAGAGGCTTACTAATCAGCCTCCCCACCTTCCCTTGGTTGATGACTGGGCCAGATATTGAGCATCAGGCCTACTGAATTTCCCCATACTACAGGAGCTGTCAGTCAAATGACCATTCCTCTGTAAACACTTTTATAGATAAAGTGAAAAACCCACCAGATAAAACTATTTTCAACCTATCCAGCCATCTCAACAATCAAATCAAATAAACACACACCCAACTACCCACCCTCATTCATAATCTACAGTTAGTTTTAATACATTACAGCTCTGTGATAACTTCTACCAAATGATAATCTGAAAACAAGAATCCCCATGCCCATTTCTCTTCTTCAGTTCTTTCAACAATGATAGGCAATGTTGTAGTTCAGTGGTTCTCAAGCATTTTGGCCTCAGTACCCTTTTACATTCTTAAAAATGATTGAGGACCCCAAAGAGCTTTGGTTATGTGAGTTCTATTGATATTTACTATAATAGAAATTAAACCTGAGAAGATTTAAAATGTTTGGCTTTGTGGACCCATTGGGTCCACACTTTGAGAACCACTGTTCTAGTTCTTAACCACAATGTCCACACATCTTCAAACATCAAAGTTCTTCCTTCCAGCTTTGAAATAAAGTATTCTATATTATTTACAAGCATTTTACTGTTTATGCTAAAACCTACTAGGAAATTGATTTAAAACACCATGGGGATTTTTTGCAAATATTTGTAGTAAGGTATGACATTGTAGAGTTAAACAATTCTAAGTATTATCAAATGTGTTTTCAGAATATGATCCACAACAATTTTGAAAAAAATGCTAATTTTATAGCAAAATACCCTTACATAAAGTACTCAGGTTGAAACTGCATAGAAAAAACTGAACTTTAAAAGTGAAGATTTTACAAATCTGGTGACTACTCAATAATTTGGTGTATGTGGGTTCATATTGGATAGAACATCTGTTAAAATTACTAAAGGGATTAATGAACAATCAGTCTGGTTTTTTTCATTTCAAAATGTGAACTAAGTTCTTAATGAGAAATACAAACTTGAATATGCTCTTGCTCAATTTTTTTGTTTAAAAATATTTACATTAAATTAAGTATTGCTTGGGCATATAGAATTACATCTACTCTTTCTGTTCAAGCCTCAGCTTACTAAAAATACATCATAATGAATTTGTCACCCAATTTGGTTTATTCTTTTGTCATTTTATTTTAGGGGCTAGATATATCTGTGACAGTAATGTAAAGCAGGCATTTTGTGTTCTTCTGATTTAATACTAATGAAGGAATTGAATATATTGACTGGAAACCTAAAAAAACACAGGGTTATTATTCAGCTATGGATGCATACACATAGGAATGTTTTTCTCTGGTTCAGATACAAATTCTCAAATGACTTTGAGAATATGTTGTTGAAAATACAGCCCATATTTCTCTCCTGAAATCAGAACTATGAATCTCAAAGTTATTGATTCTTTCGAAAGTCTCTGAAAACCAGTACTCTGGTTTCTTTTCAGATCGTATAAATAATTCATATAAAAACCAATTTAGAAGCAATTGCTTCAGGCAACTGCTTTCTTAATATTTCAAACAGTTTTCTAATAAACATACTCTTGGAATTGAAACTTGCTTTTCACATTATATAGCAATGTTGGACAACACATATCCTTGCAAATACGTTTGTTATCATAGCTGGAACTAAATCTACTTTCAAACTGCAGTTAATATTGGAGAGCTATAGTATCATACCTGACAAATGTTCAGTCAGCAACCTTTATCATGCCAAGGGTTGAACTATAAGCAATGGGCACAGGCAGAAAAAAAAGTAGAATTGCTTTAATTCAAATTAAATCGTTAATATTACTCCATGTATTATTTTTTTTATCTTGTAACATTAAAAACTATAGATCAGTGCCAGCTTTGGGTGATGGGCATGTGTTATCTGAACTTGTAGACATCTTCATGTTTTTTGTTCTGGCTTTGATCTGCTTTGGTTTTGTTTTGGTATTTTGCTCTTCTGATCAGTTGTATTCTTTTATATGTTGTTTTTTAGCTGTAAGCCACCCAGAGTCAGGCAGCTCATAAAATTAAATAAACAAACTTAAAATACTGAAGTTTTGAAGAGTCTGTGTGTCAAATTGTACGAGTTTCCTATAATATTTCAATTGTTGCATTTGCTTCTTCCTTCTATCCAAAAAAATAATCTTGAAGAGATCACGGAAAAGCCAATCACACAGCAGCTTGCAGCACATCCAGTCACTAGTGCCATTCCTGTGGTTAGTGGATCTTAAATTATAGCTGGTTGGGTAGCTAGGTTTAAAAATAAACTTGTCAAGGCCTATACAATTTCCACTGGACTTGTTCTACTGAGTATAATGGGATTTAGTGCCAAACCTACAAGAAGAGTATTGTAAGAGTATTATTGTAGCAAATCATCTTCATCCAGTCTTCTTCAAGATGATTACTATATCTCAGCTGACCTTAGTCATCTTTTCTGTTAGGCAAGCACACTACCATGCAAAGCACTGGATTGTAACTACCATCATTTTTATTCCTTAAACACTTCTGCAGTCTGAGACCCTAGAAATATTCATGGAAATAAAAATACCAGCTTCCTTCTTTTGATTGAAAGAACCCAAAAAAATGGAATCTGGTTGGCACCAAGGGAGGTGTCCTTGAGGATCCAGGTTCTAGCTATTCTCTATCATCACCTAGGATTTTTTTTTCCCCTGTAGTCAGCTGTATTTATGTTAAAGTAAAGCAGTTGGCTATACTGTAATCAATTTTTTTTTTTTTTTTACTTAGAACCATTTTTGGGAATAAAATGAAAGCAAAGCAGCAGTTTGCAATTACAACATGCCAACTGCTCATTAAAAAAAAAAAAATTAAAGGGAGGGGGGTTAAAAACAGCAAAAATAAATCTTTTTAACCAAAAACAATAATAGGGAAGGGGCAAAATATTAAAAAAAATAAAAAAAAAAAAAATTAAAGGGAGGGGGGTTAAAAACAGCAAAAATAAATCTTTTTAACCAAAAACAATAATAGGGAAGGGGCAAAATATTAAAAAAAATAAAAAAAAAAAAAATTAAAGGGAGGGGGGTTAAAAACAGCAAAAATAAATCTTTTTAACCAAAAACAATAATAGGGAAGGGGCAAAATATTAAAAAAAATAAAAAAAAAAAAAAGTTAAAGGCAGGGAGGTTAACAGCAGCTAAATTAGATCTCTGTAACCACAATCACTATATGGGAAGTGCTAGATATGTATAAAAGATAAGAAAACATAGAAGGCTGAGGCCTTTAAAATACATTCCTATTTCAAAGTCTATTTAATGCATTAGTTCTTCTAAATACATGTGTATATGGTTGCATGGTTACATGACCTTGGTAGACAAAATATGAGATTCAGTCCTTAATCTCTAGTCCCATTAAACAAAATTCAGTAATTTTCTTCAGTAAAACAAAGTCTGTTTTCTACTGAATTTAAGATGTTAGCCTTAAATTCTTTAGTGAAATAAGGATAAAGATCTATGTTGAAAAAGATCAGTTAAAGCAGTATTTTATCATTTTGTATTGTTTTTCCTCCTTGACTTAAAAATGGTTTATTGCAAACAGCTATTTCCCCCCATCAAGTTAAAATAATGATTCCCAAAGATTATAAGATGGATCTAGCTTTTCACCTAGCAGTGGATATATGTCCCAAGCTTAGGACTTTGCAGAAGGAAGAGGATGGTGTTATCTACCAATTCTCCCTTCTAATTTAGTTTCTAATACTAGGCCCCTTCGTTTTCCAAACGGTCTTAAAAGTTTTTCAGAAAGCTCTGATGTTTTCAGAACAGGGGGAAAATTATTTTTTTGGAACAGTTTTCTATAAACAGGATGTGTTCTTGTCTGCTAGGGGAAGTTCTTAACTTCTAACTTGCATAGTCTTACATCATTATTTAGAATGGACCCATTGGAAATAATAGAAATTAGCCTTGGAATTTAATTGGCTATGTGAAACAGGGATTCTAGTCAGAGAAGTGACTAAAACACAATACTGGAAGATCACAAGTTAGTGGCAGGCTGTTCCCTAATGGTTCTAATTGTCTGTGTGATCATGGATATCTTAAACACCTCATCTTGAACACAGAAAATAGCTTTATTAGATGGAGGCCTTTTAACACCTTTTTCCTTGCATTCTGTTGCATTTTTTAGGGTTTTTTTATCCCACCTTTATTATTTTTATAAATAAGTCAAGGCAGCGAACATACCTAATACTCCTTCCTCATCCTATTTTCCCCACAACCACCCTGGGAGGTGAGTTCGGCTGAGAGAGTGACTGGCCCAAAGTTACCCAGCTGGCTTTCATAACTAAGGCAGGACCAGAACTCGGTCTCCTGTTTTCTAGTCTGGACTTACCTGCTTTCTTCAGATTTTGAAACTTTTAAAAGATACTGAAATAGGAAGCCAAGTGATCTGATCAGTAAGAGGTAAAAATATGTATTTCCTTGTATAAAAATAGTGTATTTGTTCAGTCAGTTTACTTGTTTCACAAGTAGATGAGTAGGGACCTGACCTGGTTTCCAACAAGCTTATAACCAGGCACTCAAGAATGGAAGTAGTCCATTTAATGCTTTGTCAAAGAAATTGGTCTTAGTCAAGTTTGCTGGATTTTAGAAAGTGTACATGCGGATATATTAGAACTTTTAAATTTCCTGTTAGCACTGCAGTATCATATATGATCAATACTGTATAACAAAAAAAAAAAAAAAAACCCAGCACATTTTGTCTGGTCTGGAACTTCTGAAGTATTTTCTCAACACAGCCTTTATAATTATAGGATAGTCATGTGAGAACCAATAAACGATCAAAAGGAACATGAGGAATTTTAATCAGAAATATGAAAATCAAATAGGTTTTATCAAAGAGATGTTGTTGATGTTGGCCTTTACTAAACAGATTTACTCAGGAACATTCATTCCAGGCCAGTATTCTTTTATCTGAAATGTCAACATTAACTGCTAAGATTACAAAATATTTTATTCCAGTTTAGCTGCTTTTATTTTCAATCAGGAGTCTCTACTGAGGATGACCATTGTTGTATTTACAGGGGAATTCAGACATATTTGACACTCTACAAATGCAATACTCACTCAAATAAAAAAAAAAAATGAAGCAATGGTTGAATTGCTTCTAATAGATTCAAGTCACAGCTGACAATACATGTAAATTACATGTAATTACATTTTTAGAAAATAGCTACATATATGCACTAGCCTGTCAACTGGATAATCAGTTGGAAAGTTTTTTTCCAATATGGTCATTTAAAAACGTTTTAATACAGAGAAAACATAGCCAGTGGCCTGTCTCTACAGGGAAAGGCTTGTCTCCTTCTCAAGAAACAAATGTATAATGCCAGAAAGCATCTTTGGAAGCCAGAATGAGATTTTCTGGGAAGGTTGTTCTCCCCTCTGCAATTGAACATATAATGGATTTGAAACCTATTCCAATTAAATGAATAGGCTAGTAGAATAATTTAATACAGAATTGGTTGACACCATCCCAGTTTCTATAAATTTAAACTGTTTAAGCTTCAGTTGCATTAATTGCTGTTTATGTAATGAAAGTTACATTCTACAGCAGCTACATTTAAAAAGCAGCACAAAAGTACTTATTATAAGACAGTAACAAAATGCTATCTATTTTTAATAAAAAGACTGTTTTGAATAAAACAGGACACTAAGTTTTATTTGGTAAAATAGTTAAAATAAAAGGTCTTACAGAAAATTGAAAGAAACCTACCTTTCTTCATTACTGTCCATACATTCTCACGTAACTTCATTTAATTCAAGATGGGGATGGTTGTAATTTGGGAAAAACAAAAGATAAGCATTTCACCTAATAGGATATGAAAATTCCTAAGACACCATCTATCCAGTTGTCCTTAAGTCAGCATCAGTGTAGTGTAAATATTAACACTTTGTATCAAACTACAAATTACCTTCAAACAGCCTTATGAATTTAATGAAATGTTCTTCAGACCTTAAGATTACATCGTTAAGGCACTTACCATTCAAGTAAAACAGATATTTATACAAATGCCGGGAAGATGGACTGGATATTTTACTAGACAAACAACTTTGAAAGAAAATCAAATCAATGTCAAAATATCTATAAAACAGTATCAAGAGAGACTGTATTTTATTGTCTGAAATGAGCACAAACACCTTCCACAGATAACACTGAAAGCAGTGCAAAGACTGATAGTGACTTCTTGACTAAAGGTAGTTTTGTAAAAAGAAATACCAAATAAATCAGTGCCCTGCTTTGATTTTTGTAAAATCTTTACATAAAAGTTGGTCCAAACTTACAAAAAAAGCACAAAGTGTGTGCATAGTTCAGATCTTAGTAGTGTGCCTTAAAAAGCTGATGTCCCTAAATTTAGCATTGACTTAAAACTGCCAAAATATAAAATTTATAGCTAGAATTTGAAAGATGTACAATCAATTATCTGGATTTTCAGAACAGCATGAATTGTAAGCAATTTCCTATTGTACGCAAGACCCTTTTCTGCATAAAAATAAAGCTGCTGAATTAACATTATTCAAGTCTGTTGGATTGCTGTTTGAAATCACAGCTACAAAGTTTTTCCAGATAAAAATGATGTGCCTGAGGGGGGGAAGGGGGGGAAACAGATGCTCAATATGGCAATCCTCTGCCTCGACCTCTGACTGCTGATGTACTAATATGTCCCCTGTATCCTTGTGAATAACCAGGTCCTTGGGCAGGAGAAGTCCAAGTTTGTCCATGCATGTGGCTGGCACTGACAGGAGGTTCTTGTAAATTACTTCCATAGCTATAGTTCTGCATCTTCGAAGTCAAAGAATGAGAATGAGTACTTTCAGACCCAGACCTTCCAACTGTATCACCACTGTTTCCCAGTACTGTAATGGGACCATGGCTATATTCAAATCTATGATCTTTATCACCACTGAATAGCATGGGACCAGTGTTGAGGTAAATGTCTCCATAACCAGTTACTGAACTATGAAATGGTTCTGAAAAGGCAGGAGGTGGAAGGGCACCACTTGAATGAGATGAAGCAGTATTATAGTTCTCCAAGGGTTGAACATCTGAATTTCCAACAAAATTTGCTCTTTCTAATGTCCCAGATGATACACTTCCTATTCCATCACTACTACTGTAAAGGGCAGAAGAGAATGTAGAAGATCCAAAACTATCTTTATAGTCTGGACCTGCTACAAAGGAGTCTCTTGACTGGAACTCCACATTAGAAGTTGCTGGTTTCTCAGATGTTTGGGCCTGGTGATGAGCAAGCAGCTGCAAAAGAGCTGCTTTTACTCCAGCATGAGGATCCATCCCTGAAGAGCTACTAACTGAAGGTAAGTGTTGGTTCGCTGTCCGATAATCAAGGTCTTCTTCAGTAACTGGGGGCGGTTCTGGTGGTTCGGGGGGTCGTTGATCTGGAGGCAAGATACGAGGTCGTTCTTCTGGTGTTTGAGGTCTCATTTCAGGGGGTCTCGCCAAGTCATCTTGCCCTAAATTAATTTTGAAATAATTTAGAATGAAATCTGCAACTAGAAATTAATTACTCTAATAACAGAATATTTATTAAGTGTTAAAGGTTTGGATCCAGAGAGGTCTCGTGTGAGCAAAATTACTTCTAGAAGTGTGCTTCTGTCACAGCACCTGCCCTCCAAAACAACATCCTCCCAAAGATTAGTTTGGCCCCACCTTGACCTAGTTTAAAAAAAAAAAAATCGAGCTCTTTCCCCCAGCCTTAGGCTAAAGTGGGTATTATATGGCTATTTTTAGAGTTGGGGGAAGGGGAGCTGGGAATGTTTCCAGATGCCTGATGTTCTTTAGTTGTATGTTTGAATTATTTTAATACTGTACTTTGCCCAGAGTCTCAGTGGAGTCTGGCAGCCTTATAAATTTAATAAATATATATAGGAAACACCCCTGCCAAATTCCTCCAACTTTCTGTTTCGCAGCCCTTTCTGCCCTATCTCACATTCTTCCTGAGACTCTAGACTTCAGGAGCAGCTGGAAAGGCACAAGGGAGTTCGGGGGAGGAATCAGGAAAGTTGAGGTGTATGAATACCATTCTACTCAATTTTCTCTAGAGCCAATCCAGAGTGTGATCACAGAAATGCATCAATCCTCTATCCACAGTATCTGGAAAACATTATCTGTAAGATTATCACAAATAACTATAACTAGTAGGAAAGTGTATATTCTCAATGAGGCAAAAACAAGGGAATTCTATAAATTCTTAATATATTCTTCATTTGGTATCACAGGAGTTATTGAAATATAAGTTAAACTTCATTACAGAATATGATACTTTAGTACACCACTTAGAGTCATTAGTGACTGAAGCAGCCTGTAAGCCTAAGTAAATCACCCAATAATAATATCTACTTCCAACTGTTTGATAGAAGCAAGAATAAGCCTGACATTCTCAATCATATACATTCCCTGTCTAAATATAATTTTCCCAATACCAAAACTCATACCTGCACATGCGTATAATGATTTAATAAGATGGGGATAAATAGATGCTGGTGATTCTGCATCTTCCCAATTGCCAGATGCAGGAGTACTTGGCTCTGGAGGCTGCCTGGGCTGTAATGACATGTCATTTCCTGATCCATTCTCCTTTTCTTCTAGGAAGTTTTCTTTTTGCTTCAATTGTTGAGCCTTTAATAACTGAGATAACAAAACCGTAAATGCACTCTGCACAGCTGCTTGGGTAACTTCTGTGTCAACTTTAGTTTGGGTCAATGGAGTGGCTTGCACAGAAAGCTGTGGTGTTGCTGTTTGTTTTAAAGGCTCCTGGTCTGGTGAGGGAGGCAGTGGTGGCTTAGGTGGTGGTGGTGGTGGCGGCTGCTGCTGCTGCTGCTGCTGCTGCTGCTGCTGCTGTTCAGGCTGTTTTTCTGCCACATCCAAAATGCCAGCTGGAAGGTTTATTTTATTCAGCTGTTGCTCAGTCTCGGGATTCATTTTAATGTTCAGCACTTGAGCAAATTGTGCCATATTAATACTAGTTTTAGACTGGAGCAGGTTTAGGAGAATTGCCACTTCATTTTGGTTTAGTGGCTGACCACTACCTGCTTTCACTGAAAATAGCAAGAAAAACAAAAAGGAGGCACTTAGAATTTTCATATTTAAGGTCCAAGGCAACATTCATTTGACTATGACCCACTTCAGATGACTACTTAAACAGTGGTTAGATATGAAGAGCTTTCTTGCCTTTTCCTTGGTATGGAAAAATGAATATTTTGCTTTCACTTTAGAACCATAGTTTCATGTACAAACAACCTTTTGTTTTCCAAGGTAAGACTGGGAACTAAAGTTTATTTTAAAATGAGAACAGCTTTCAGTGTTCTACCCTTCACCTGAAAGTTCATTGTCTCTTGTTCTCAATCTAACTAAAATACAAATGAAGTGATATTATATATCTATCAGGCAGGTTACATTTATATTTTCCAGCATTCACAGGCAACAAGGTGAAATAATTTTGCAAACTCCATTTGAAAAAAAAAATACATAAATATAGCAAAGTGGAAGAACTATTGTAAAATCAATTAGGAGATAGTTATAGATATATGCTATTTTCCAGCTATTTTATGAAATAGCTGGAAAAGATACATGTTTGAGTTAGACTGTTCGAAACTAAGGCTTGTCTAAGATAAGCTGGAATCAGAGTTAAAAATAGGGAGTAGGGATTCCCCAAGCTTTATCTTTCACAATTCTTTTTCTTAAACAAGAGCAGAGAGCGCTGAGTGGAGAGGCTGAGGAAAGAAGCCAAGAAAAACATAGTAAATATATTTTTGAAACTAGCAATGAAGGGATGACTTTTCAGGAAAATTGCTTTTGCAACTACTACATTGCTGATACAATATAAATTAGGAACTATCATCAACCTGTTATGAAATATTAGAGATACATCATCTTGAGCTCATAATTGTCCTGAGTTTGAAATTGGCTGTTCTGAGCATAATGGAAGCATTTCAAGCTTGAAAATGGTCCTGTTACAAATGCAAAACACATAGTTTAAACTTGAAATAGCTATTTCAAGGCAGAATTGCTTCTGGGATACTAGAATAGCTTATCTTATGTTTTTAAAAATTATTAAATGGGTATTTCAAGCTCAAGGTATTTTGAATCTGAAATGTTATGTGAAGCCCTAAGAAACAGATGCCACAACTCTTTATTGTTTGGATTCATCTCTAAGAACAGGAAGACATAGCAATGTGCCCAAGATAATCTATTTTGAAAGTGTCTCAGAAACATCAGCAATAAATGGGCTCTTTTCCAGCATCATCACTGTTGAGGAAAAAAAAATAAAAGGATCTCTGATTTCAGCAGTCATAGTACACTATTTACAGATTGGCAAACCTATGAACAGACCAACCAGATTTGGATGCTCCATGCCTAAACCAAAGTACAAATGTTCTGCACATGTACCTGGAATATGTGTTCTGGGCACATATATTCTGGGATGGGAGATAATGCGGAAAATGCAAAGCCAACAGTACGAGCTAAGAAAATATAAAGGGAAGGAAGGCACTAGAAAGGCCAAGGAAGGAATGGGCAGACTGGTTGGGTTATGCCAACAAAGGAGCAAGGACAAGAATAATGTAAATTAACTGAACTAATAACTAGCGTTTAATATTACTTGCCTCTAAAATAAAGTACCCACTTAAACATTAATTCATCTTATTTCCATATATTAAACAATCTTTCTCTCCCACTGTCACCCATAAACACACATACTCAATTAATTAGACTGGGAAGGGAAATCTAGGATGGAACAAGACTGGAGAGATAAAGTAAAGTGGAGAGGTAATTGACAGGAAAAGGAAGAAAAGTCCAGTTTAGGTTTTACAGAAAATAGGATTCCTACTACAAAAAGCATTACATTAACCAGGCAAATCTATTATAGCACACATCAACTAAACTTCAGCTAATCATTAAACACCTTCCAGTTTTGAAAGCCAGATCTTTGGTTCCTTTTGTACTTTATGCTAATTCATTTCTTTTCCAGAGCTTCTTTTGGTCTGAATGACCTCTCCTGGAAAAAATAATGGGCATCCTGAAGTTATATTTGGTAAAGAAGAAATGAAAAATTACCAAGTGCTATGTTAGAGTTGCCCTGCATTTTCAGTTGTGAAGAGGTCTGCAGGCCTTGAGGGGTGTTGGCTCTGCTATCATCCATCCCCAAAGATAAATCCTTTCTTGGAATTTTAGCTGCATCATCAGTCATGCCCATTTGCTTTTGCCTTCTACGTTTCTTACTCCACAGTTCATGGCAATCCTGCCATAAAGGAAGGCTATAAAGAAAAAAAGAGTACAGTTATTCAGCACAGAATGCGTACCATAAGACTTTGGGTGACAAAATTTAAAAAGAAGGCCACAAAAGAGTTAGGGGCATTGTCTATAAAAGAGAGCTCAAGAAGCCATTATCAGGAAGCAAGAGAGGCATGTCAACATCGTACTAGGTAGTTGGCAGATCAAACGCCTGGGGATTAGAGAAGCAGATCTCAGAAGAATGAGGATGTCAGATGGACAAGTAAACATTTAAAGGGACAGCATATAAATCAAATGGTGCAAGGCAATTAGCCCAGCTACTTAGCAAGACTATAAAGGACCTGAAACAAGTTTCCAGTGGAGCTTCTCTATCTGAACAGAGGACTCCATGCTCTTGGGCTAGATGTTTGGCAAAATCTGAGCTGCAAGAGCTAGGTAAGTGAAAGGAGGAATGATATGTGTGTGATAGTGAGGGTAAAGGAAGTTCTTTTTCAATAAGGTGTGGTAACGTACAGGACACTATGTGCTCATAACTTGCTGAAAGATTCTAGCTACTCTTCTACCTACTCCCTTTGGGAAATTAGGGAAAGGAGTCCCACTGAATGATGTGTGCATGTTATCATAAAATCCTATCTTCTTTACCTCAATCATGCAAAATTTGTTCTTACAAGACACCCAGTCACTGTCACTAAACAGTTGATCAAAGCAAAAGAAAGAGGCTTGAGCACATCTTCAAAGATCAGAGAAAAAGGAGAGCGCTTGACTATAACGGGGACTCATAAAACCATTGATCTAGTTGTGTAACACCTGACAACAATAAGATGCAGAAAACAAATTCTACCACTCAAAACCAAATTTGGAGACAAGTGGAGCTAATTTTGGTTCCATCATTTTCAGTTAAATAAAAATATATGGGCAAAACCAAAAAGACTGCTACTTGCCAGATAGTTAAACTAATTGCTGTTTTTAAATCCTTTGCTATGGGGAAGTTAGAGTTCACAGTTGTTGTTTCTGTGTAAATTGTGTTTTATTTTTCAAGCAGGTTACTAAATACAAAGGTTTGCACTGTGCAGGGAATGTACATTAAGACCACTGCTGGGCTGTAGACTTTTCCAGGTAAACAAGTATATTTTTGCTGCTATGTTCATGTGTTATATTGAAGTGAATCCACTGAGTTACTTGTTTCTTCACCAGCTCAGTTCTATGGCTGCTGGTACTATAAGCCTTTAGAAAATTAATAAATGCAATTTCAACTGTATGCTCATATTAAGTATTTACATTATGTATTAAACCTGATCCCATATGCAACAAAAATGAATACATATGTAGCATCTAGATTCTGCTGATAGAATCAGAGTACTACAGTTTTGTTTTGTAGCAAATAAACTCAACTAAGACACACTTACTCTGGTGGAGGCATTTTTGAAGGGTCCACATCTCTCAGAAATTCACATTGAAGTGCCTGTTCTGCTGTGCAGCGTTTGCTGGGATCGAGAGCAAGCATATAATCAAAAAGATCTAGTGCAGCTGCAGGAATACTGTAAGAAAATAGATAAAATGAGTCAAGAAAACAAAGTAATGTTCATTCAAAAACTTCACAACCTGTAATAAGTTCAAACTCTTTCTTCCCTTTTAGACTTAGTATTTAAAAAATGTATAGTTGATTCTCATTACTACTTGAAAAAAATGTACCTCCTGAACTAGAGGTGAAAGCTCAGATAACTTTTTCACATAAACTAATGTGCTCAATTTAAATGCTACACTAGGAGAATCCATGTAGGTTGCCTATACAATGTCAATATGCTAAAGATAATATTGTGTATATGTCAAATGTAAAACTATGAGGGTTGAATGAAAAGTAATGCCTCCAATGTAAGTTGCCAACAGATGGCAGTACTGATACACTAGAACAGTGTTTCTCAACCTTAGCAACTTTAAGATGCATGGCTGGGGAATTCTGGAAGATGAGGTTGAGAAACACTGCAGTAGAAACTCTGACAAATTCTTTAGCATCTGTTGTTTCCCTTCAGTTGGTGGACCTTGCAATGGGAAAAGGTTGTGTTGTTACTGTTTGTAAAATGGAAGCCTGCAAGTGAACATATGTCAGAGCATTTTAAGCAATACGCCTTAATTGAATGTTTGACTGCTAAAAGGGTTCCTCCAACTGAAATTCAGTTCCAAATGCAGGTTGCTTATGGTAGTGAGTACTGTGTATTACTGAACCAAAAAATATAAAGATGGTAAACTGGGCAAAGCTGATTTGCATGATCAACAGCACAACTTGATTACAAATGAGGAATGTTGATGAACTAATAAAGGACAATCAGTGGATGTCTCAAAGGGAAATTGCTTGACATTTCACAGGAACATGTGGGTCAAATTATTATTGATTTTTTCAGTATCAGAAGGTTGTGCAAGATCGATTCCTTGCATGCTTGATGGCAGAGATGAATGCTGTAAAAACTGACATTTGCCAGCAACTGTTACTATGCTATGAGAATGAAGGTGAGGAATTTCTTTACAACACTGTAACAGCTGACAAAACATGGGTTCATAATTAAGAAAAAAAAAACAAAGTATCAGTCAAAGCAGTATCATTACAGAACTTCACCTGTGGGGAAAAATTTTAAAACTCAGGTTTGGATCAGAAAATTCATGGTTACAGTTTTGAGGGATGTAGGTGGTATTATACATATGGATTTCTTGGAACCTGGCACCACTATCAACTCAGAGCACTACACTGCAACACCCAAAACAACAATTAAACAGAGTTCAAAAGCACAAAAAGGAAATTTTGTTGCAATACTTTGCCTCCCACCTCATAAGCCACCCAAGAAGCAATTGCAAATTCCATATTTTCTCAACATGGAAGGAATACCTTTAGGAACATCATTTTTACTCAGAGGTATAAAGGACTAAGGACCTGGTTGGAGAGATAAGGTGTGAACTTCTTTTGTGATGGCAAAAGTGTGTAACAAATGGTGGTGATTATGTGGAGAAGTAAATACAGGTAACAAAAGAGCTCATTTCAAGAATTATTTTCCTGGGACATTTATTAAAATATCCTTACTTAAACTAAAATTATGGAAGTGGGGGTATTACTTTTAATTCAACCCTGAAAAATGCTCTCATGTGCATTATTTCTTTCTCTCTCTTTATATAGCGAGAAGAGAGAATATTGACGTAACTAAATAAAGACCACTTTTTAAAACAGTTGAAAGTTTTTGGATCATACAAAAATATGTGGAGAGAGCCATGGAGATGGCCTGAAGGGAATATTTAGAAGCCTACATAAATAAGGGCAGAAGCATTCCTTAAGCCCTGGGAAAGGAGATGATATTAGGAAGAGACTCAGGCTGGCTCCTCACTGATTCAATGGGGTATAAGAGGGAGGAATATAAAACACAAGCAGACCTGGAAGATTCTATTAACATAGCCTATCCCAATAAAACTTAGTTCTACTATTTCTGTAGAGTCGGTTTCCTGATCTGGCCTACTTTGTAGGGCTGACAATAAGAACCAGGACTACCTTTTGTTAGCTATAAATTCTGCTTCTTTCCAAAGCTGATGTTACACAGATACAGAATACGAAGATCATAAAGAAGAATAGAATAAATTCATGAGTGGGGGAGATAGTATATTTAAATAGTTCAATTCTTACAAAGCAAACTCTTCCCTCAGTCTTCGACGATATTGCTTCTTTGGTTTCATGGTATTGAAATACGCCAATTTTATAACATCAGGCCATACTGCAGGACAAGGACTCCCACATATGCGGCTATATAAAAACAATTAATTAATACATATCATAAAATCAATAAGTACCACAAAGTTTATGAATCAAACATGGATTTGATTAAAACAATGCTACTCAAATATACACAATTAGAGATACTTAAAAAGACCAACTTAAAATGTAAGAATATCCCATAAGGGGAAGACTCAACGAGACTATAGCATCTTGGCTACAATATTTTCTCTTCATTAAAAAGCACTACATAAGAAGACAAAAGTTGTAAGAAGTATTTAAATAGCATCATCAAATCTTCTGAGTTGGAATGTGTAATTACAGTGTACAACTCCAGTTACTCTTTAAACAAACATTTGCATCTTTGTGTGCTTTTTTAATATATTTTCTTGTGTAAAGTTCTTTTGTTTTTGTAAAAATTGATTATTTTTATTTTACATTATTTTATGTATGTCTGAAAATCAATAAATACAAGTATTTGGGTTCTGTAGAGAAAAAAAAATCATCTAAGTTTTTCTTTTAATAACATATTACCTTTATATGCAAGGGTTAGCAGAGAAGTCTGATCTCAAAACAAACTTCTGCATCCTGAAAAGTGTTTTTTTTCCCCCTGAGCTTGAAAACAAAGTGCATCATTTGTTTTGTACTTGGAATAAAATGTGATTGTTTTGAAAAGTGCCATTCTGCATATTCAAGGCTGTTCTGAGTACTGTAATTAGACATTTATTTTGTAGTTGTGATTACTTTTTGTATTTACAAACATTCCAGCATAGCCAGCATACCAACTAGGGCCAACTATATCCCTGCTACTGTTGTCTTAGATTAGATAAGGTGATGAGAATAGTAGACTGAGGGAGAAAGCACATAGCTCAGGCCTAAAGAGCCATTCTGGGCTCTGCTCTTGTCTCAATCTTAGTAAGTTACTGCTTTTTAAAACATTCTTCGCTAAGAAAAAGTGAAGAGTTCATCTGAGAGACTGCATGTATGTTCCTCACTGTGCTTCATTTATAGGTAGGTAAAAGAAAAATAAATGAAAAGGGTTATATGCATGAACACACAAATGTTGCTAATTCTTTTTAAATTATATAAATTGTAAATGCAAAGACTACTTGTTAGTTTGGTTGGTTGCTAAGCTTTGGTGTAGTGTGCACCATCTGCATATTGGCATCTGACTAATGTTGAGCTTCAGAATGCATTAAGCAACTTTGTATTGGTTTGGCTGTTTGGATGAATTTAGTATATGCCTGTGAGTGTTCTCTTGCTGAGTTTACAGAGTGTATTTAAATGCAAGTTTGTCTGTAAAACCTAGAAACTGCAAATCTAGTAGTTCTATTGCCGGTAATATATATGTATGCTGAAATGTTAATATTAATGCAATATTGCGCAACAGTTAATAAGAAGAAGTCCTTTTTTCAACTCAAGTCCAGTGAGATTGCAACTACAATTTGCTGGGCTTGTGTTTCTCAGGTAGGCAAGCTGCAAAATGAAGTGTCCCAAACTGTTTGCTTTTTTGCTGGACTGACAATCTATACTCGTACTTCCTAAACTGTGCCACAGTGCCCCAAGGCACCACAGCAAACTCCCAGGGGCACTGCAGGATCATAGCTCACTGTTTTGCCTAGGGGTACTGAGACCCTAAGGGCGCCATGAACTGTGAAGCAAGAAAATGTGGGAACTCTGTTCTACACTGGTTATTATACACTATCCAAACTGCAAATAATTGGCCGCACAGATTATTCTTAATTTTGTTTCCAGTGAGGATTTTTAAAAAATATTAGAAACAAACTTTTGGGACAATTATTTACATGTTGAGTGATGCATAAACATATTGTCTGCCAATACAAAATATTTTTCTAGCAGTAGAGAAGAAAACAAAGAAACAAAGGGCTTATTTTTAGTTTCCATTGCTTCCTATGGCAAGAACATTCAAAAAATTCAGTGTTGTTGCATTTGAACACGTGAGCCATTTTAAGTCTTGTTCCACTGGAACTCAGCCATCTCAAATTGCTCAACAGAACAAAAAATTCAGAACAAAACCGTTTTCATTTCATACACAAGCTTACTCGTAACTGAAAACATGCTAGTCGAGCTTACTTCAAAGATGTATGTTCAGGAACAGAATACAAAAAAGAAATATTTTGACAAGGCAAACCTAGTGAGCAATAGGCAGATCCAAAAGAAGTGTCACAAAAATCGGTCTTTTCCTTCTATATTTCTTTTGGATTTTTTAATATTAGAGGACTTCTACACATGACCACAGTAAGCTGTCACATTCACAGTCACGTGAATTAAATCAGAGCAGGCACAACCTTTTTTTTTTAAAATAGTCAGGAGACAAAAATCAGTTCTTCCCCTATTTTTAGGACTTGTTTTACTGCCACCTAGTTAAAACATTCTATGAGAACTTCATTTTAATATTGTAAAGTGACAACAGAAAAAAATCATTATTATACAAAGAGACTAATTTCATCTCTTGTCACAGAACATTTTACTCAGTTTCTTGTGAGCTGGGGAGTCTAGGAAACCTTCTAATGGATGGAATTTTACAGATTGGAGTTTATTTTATTGTTAAATGCAGCACCTATTACTGCTACTAAAATAGTTAAATAATTCAGAAACTGCAGTGTATAGAAACGTGACCAAAAAATAAATAAGTGATGCGACTTCCAAAGTATGTATAAGTGTATGATGAGGTTAAATTATTGTCCTTCCCTTTCCGTGGAGAAAAGTACCCAGTTCCAGTTTCTTCTCTTCTGCTGTCTTCAGATATTGCAATGTCCACTATCCAGACTGTTTTGTCTTTCTTATCAACAATTGTTAAGTCTGGGGTGTTGTGTGGCAGGTGCTTGTCTGTTTGAATTCTAAACTCCCACTTTAGCTTCTTCATTTCCTTTTGTCTGTTTTGTGGTCCCACCAGTTCTTGCTTGTAGGCAAATGGTACTTCTTGCAGATAGTCCAATGCCCCATTGTTATTATTTTGTCATGCCATTATTTGTAGTCAGTCTGTGCAATTTTCTTGCAGCAGCTAACTAGGTGGTCCACTGTTTCTTCAGCTTCTTCATAGAGGCAGCATTTGCTGTCTCTTGCTGTCTTCTCAATTCTGGCTTTGTAGGCATTTGTTCTTAGGGCTTGGTCTTGTGCAGCCAGAATTAGCCCCTCTATCTCCTTCAACTTTCCTGCTTTTAGCCATTGCCAGGTCTTGTTGTTTCTGCTTTGCCTGCTAGTTTTTTTTTTGTGTCCTGGCCATGTAATACTTAGTCTTGCCACGTCTCTTTTCTATTCTTCATTTGGACTTTCTTGTAGGCCAGTTTGTTCTCTTCAGTATTCAGTAAGCCTTCATGGTGTACTAGCTTCAGTGCATCTTCTTCACTGTCCTTCAGATATTCTTCCAATGCCCTTTTTTCTTCAACTGTCTGGTGTACTTGTAACATTCCACACCCACCTATGCTCCTTGCTAAGTAGAGTCTGTCAACGTTGCTGCATGGATGAAGGGCATGATTCATTGTCGTCATTTTTCTGGTCTTCCTACATAGGGCTTTTAGTTCAGCTTGAGTCCCAGTCCTCTATTCCAGATGTATATCTAACGACTGGAATTGCCCAGGTGTTAATCGCCTTGATGGTATTTCCGCCACTGAGTTTGGAAGATCTTCTTCGCTCTTCTGATGTATTCACTACTTTCTTCTTGACTTCAATGTGCTTGATGTTGTCAGCCTGAAGGATGCCCAGGTATTTGTAGTAGTCATCTTGATCATCATTTGTACTGAGCAGACTCTACATATTATTTTCATTGGGCATCTGGATTCCTTCAGTTTTTACTTTTTTTCCCCCTGTTGATGGCTGTATATTTTGACAGTGTTGAGCAGTGATTCCATTTCAGTTGGTGTTTTTCCATACAGCTTTGGAACATCCATGTAAAGGAGGTGAGATAACCTGGCAGATGCTTTTGATGTTTTATAGCCATGGCCAGACTTATTCAATATTGTTGACAGAGGAATCAAACAGTGGTGGTGATAGTGAGTCTCCTTGAAATATTCCTCTCCCAGTCTACCACCATGGACCAGCACTGTGTCTTCCATTGTGTCACTGATCTTTGCACAAAGCTTCTATTTCTACTGACTCCTGTTATTTCTGGGCATTTGATTATCCAATCATGTGGCAGGGAGTCAAATGCTTTCTTGTAATCAATCCAAGCTATATTCAAGTAGGTGTTCCTTCTCTTACAGTTTTCCAAAATCATCTTGTCAATTAGGAGCTGATCTTTTGTTCCTCTGCTGTTTGGGCAGTTTCCTTTCTGCTCAGGTGAAAAGAGCTTGTTTTCAACTAGATGCTGTTGGACTGCATCAGCTAACCACACCTGCTAATTGGCCTGTAGTTGCCTGATGCTGCCCCTTTCGTTGGATCTTTCATTATCAGGTAGGTTTTGCCAGATGTTAACCAATCTTCAATTTCACCTCCTTGCAGTATGTTATTAAACTGCTCGGCAATGAGTGGGTGCAGACTTGTCAGATGTTTCAACGAAAAACCATGCAGTTCATCGTCACCTGGTTCTGACCAATTCTTGAAATTCCTTTCCCTTTTCTCCACCATTTCTGCTGTTATTACAAGTTCTTTTATTTTGGCTTCTTTCTTATTCTTATCTACCTCCTTTATCCAAGTTGCATTCTTCTTGTATTTCTTTGGGTTGTCCCACAGCTGCGCCCAGAACTGCACTGTTTCTTCTTTGTCAGATGTTGACTGGTTCATTGCAGTCTCTTCATTGATGGATTGGTAGAAACGTTTCTGATTTGACTGAAATTGAAGGTTCTGCCTGTAGTGTGCAATTCGAGCTTCGTATCTGATCTTGATCTGCTGATCTATGGCTGTTATTTGCTGCTTTATTATTTCCAGTGCTTCCTTGATCTTCCTTGTTTCTAGATGTTATTTCTTGATCACATATTCTTTGGTCTTCTTGTTCTTCAGCTTCTTTTCTTTCATCTGTTCTACCTTGCTTGCAGGTGATCTCAGCGTGCTGAACTTACTTTTCAACCTGAACTTCCATTTTGGTAGTGCACTGTTTGGCTTTTTTTCTTGTTGATTTTGCATCCAAGATATTCAGTTATAACTGCAGCTGTGCTGTACATCAGTTGGTTTGTTTCTTGCAGTGAGCTGG